TATTATTTGATTGTTCAAAAGAATTACTGATAATGAATATTTCAGAATGAGGAGAAAATCGAAATCAATTGGAAGATCAAATGGGGATTTTTGCAATATGACAATAACACTAAGATCAAAATCGAATTATAGTTTTTTTATCAGAAATGTCAGATCGAATCAAACGAAATGACCAATTTAATGACAATGATTACTGATAAGCTAAAAAGGCTAATGAAATTTTACGAAAAGTTTTAGGGAGTTTTATAAAATTTGGAACAGAAAAAAAAATTACCTATGAAAAAAATATAATTATGTCAATGCGAATATATCGAAATTGATGATTTCAGTCGTAGATACAAATAAAATGGCAACGGAAAAAGATTTATCACAGATATCAGATATGATATTTAGAAAATTATTAAATGACTTATTGATTAATTGTACGAAATAAGTTTATATTGAATGGAATATATAATGATGAAAATTGAATATGAAGACGAAGATTGTTGTAAAAAAGATGGGTCAGAATGGTCAGAAATTAATTTCGATAAGATATTTTCTTTCGTACGAAAAATTAGTATTAAAAAAATTTCTGTTTAAAAATTCGAAATAATTGAGATCAAAATATAAATTTTCGAAAAATTTAAAAAATTCTATTTTGAATATTTAAATTAAAATATTCTTCATACGTTCAATACTCTTATTCATATATTTTCCATAATTTGTTTAAGACAATTATAGAAATTTTCAATATGTTTATTTTTATATATCTAATAAAATAATAATAATATAAAATATTAAATTATATTAAATTATATTGAATAATATTAAATTTTTTATTAATATTTTCATCTACATCTACCGAAATTAAATAATCAGAAACGATGAATAAGTCAGAATTTCATAATTTCTTTTATACAATTAAAATGGAAATTGACGATAATTTAAAACAAACATCTTGTTTTATGGTCGAAGGCATTAATCTATCATTTTACGATTTTCATTAATGATTATATATCATATCTTCATATGATAAGGTGGAAAATAAAATAAATTATACGCGATTTATCTTTAGTAATTATCGATTTTATATTAATGTCGATTATGTTATATTAAATTCGAAATATAATTTTTCTTGATTAAACAGAATTAGTGAAAGATTAAGCGAAATTTTAAGCATCTTTATTTAAGAAACAACCGCGACAGAGATTGATGATTATAATGCATAAGACATGACCATTTTTATTCTATATTTAGCATATTTTATAAAATATAATTTTCATAAATTTATAAATATTTTTTATTTTAAATTTTTTATTTTTGTTCAAATTATTTAATATTATAATATAATATAATATTATGATTTGAATTTTATATTTTTTATAAATTTTATAATATATAATTTTTATAAAAAATATATAATAT